GGGGAAAGGAGGGAAAAATAAGGGGGGAAAAGGGGAGGAAAATCAGGAGGAAAAAGGGGGGAAAACTAAAGGGGAGAGGGTGGAAAAAAGGGAGGGAAAACTAGGGGAGGGGGGAGCCAGGGAGGGGAAAATGGTAAAAACCTCAATGTAAAACTGTGTAGAACTGAATAAAACCATGAAAAAAAAACCCCATGGGAGTGTAAATGTGTGTGAAGTGGGGTAAAAGCAGTGGAAAAATGTGGGAAACTGGTGTAAAACCAGTGGGAAAAAAGTGGCAAAGCAGTGTAAAAACGTGTTAAACTGAGTAAGACCATAAAAAACCCACAGAAAACCAGTGTAAAAAAGTGTAAAACTGTGTAAAACCAGGGAAAAGCAGTAGAAAACCAGTGTAAAATAAGTGTAAAACCGTGTAAACCCATGAAAAACCATCTAAAACCAGTGTAAAAAACCATGTGAAACCATGAAAAACCACATAAAACCAGTGTAGAAGTGTGTAAATCCATCTAAAACCAGTGTAAAAAAGTGTAAAGCCACTGTAAACCTATGTAAAACTGTGTAAAATAATGTAAAACCAGTATAAACCCATGTAAAACCAGTATGAACCCACAAAAAAGCAGTATGAACCCATATAAAATCAGTATAAACCTATATAAAACCAGTATAAACCCACATAAAACCAGTATAAACCTATACAAAACCAGTATAAACCCACATAAAACCAGTATAAACCCACATAAAACCAGTGTGGTGGCATTCCCAAACTTCCCCATCCAAAAAAATGTGGCTGGAGAGGGAGCCCAGGCCTTCAAAAGAAGGCAAATCCCAAATTTGGAGCACTTTGTGCCTGAGCACGAGGCCCAACCTTGGCCTCCTCCTCCCTTCACCCAGAGCAGAGCCCATCCTGGGGGTCCTGGGTTCATGAATGAAGTATGAAATGAAAAATTGAAGCAGCAGGGGAAAATCTTAGGGTGCCCAGGGAGGGGTTGGGGTCACCAGATGAGGAGATTGTCACCTGGGTGTCCTTCTTCCTGGGGGATTTTCCTTGTTGGGGGGTTGGGGGGGGTGTGACAGGATCCTCCACAGGTGCAGGCCCAGCCTAATCACCAACCTATAATGACATTAAAAGATAATTCCAAGATGAAACCTCCTCAGTTTGGGTGGATTCTTTTTCCTTCCATCCCCTCCCTCTGCTTTTTTTGGCTTAGTTGCTCCTCAAAATCAAATAAGACCAATAAATAAACAGAGGAGTCACAGCAGGACCCCCCACCCCCCCATGCCCAGGGGTGGGAGTTCCAGGCCTCAGGAATTTCCAGCTTAAACAAAAAAAAGATGGAGCAAGGGTGAGGGAAAACAAGGAATTTTTTTTTTCCCCCCTCCTTCAACACAGGATCTTGGTTAAAAAACTTCATCCCACTTCCCTGGGGTTGGTGTTGATTTTCCTCCCCAGGGGGTGGATCTGGATGGTCTGTTCCTCAGGGAGTCACTGGTTGGAATTTTAGAGAGATCCAGGTATTAATGAAGAAGAGGGAACCTGCTGTTCCAGGGAACAGGGGTTCCATGTGGACAGGGAACCCTCAGTCCCAGGGAACAGGGATTCCATGTGGACAGGGAAGCTGCAGTTCCAGGCAAAAGGGGTTCCATGTGGACAGGGAACCCTCACTCCCAGGGAAAATGGGTTCCAGATGGATAGGGAAGCTGCAGTTCCAGGGAAAAGGGGTTCCTGGTGGACAGGGAAACTGTTGTTCCAGGGAACAGGGGTTCTACATGGACAGGGAACCCTCAGTCCCAGGGAAAAGGGGTTCCATGTGAACAGGGAACCCTCAGTCCCATGGAACAGGGGTTCCAGGTGGACAGGGAAACTGGAGTTCCAGGGAACAGGGGTTCTAGGTGGACAGGGAACTCTCAGTCCCAGGGAACAGGGGTTCCATGTGAACAGGGAAGCTGTTGTTCCAGGAAATAGGGGTTCCATGTGAACAGGGAACCCTCAGTCCCAGGGAAAAGGGGTTCTAGGTGGACAGGGAACCCTCAGTCCCAGGGAAAATGGGTTCCATACGAACAGGGAACCCTCAGTCCCAGGGAACAGGGGTTCCATATAGACAGGGAAGCTGTTCTTCCAGGGAACAGGGGTTCCACGTGGACAGGGAACCCTGAGCCTCAGGGAAAAGGGGCTTTTGTGCTGCCACAAAGAAAACCTGGCGCAGGCAGGACCTCCCGTGGGGCTCAGGAACAACCTCCTCCTCAGGGTCCTTGTGCCGGTGCTGCTCGGTGCTGCTCTCACGGGTCGTGGCTGCGTGAAAAACGGGGACAAAACACGGACCTGTGAGTGTCACAGCTGCTAAAAACCACCTTTTCTCCCTTCCCTCTCACTCCCAGGGGCCTCAAGGCCTGTTTTTCATCCTCCTCGACCCCTCAGAGCAGGGCAGGAGGGGTGGGACAGGGCACACGAGGTGGGTTTGGAGGTGATCAAAAGCTCCTTTCTCAGGCCACTGGTCTTGATTTCGTGTTAATTAATCGTGCTAAGCACCTCGGCAAACTCTTCTCCTCGAGTTTTGAGTTGGGGACCCACATTCAGAGCCAGGCTCTGGGGCTGATTCAGGGCAGAACAAACCCGGAGAGAGGTCACAGGAGCTCAAAAATCAGCTGAAATCCATCAACCCTGTCCCCCCGCCC